GAAGGAGTTGTTCAGTAACTTTGGTTTTTACGTTACTGTGTTATGCCAAAACAAACAGAAGGCTCAGCAAAGCAAAAAAAAAAAAAAAACAAACAAAAAACCAACAAAACAAAAAAACCCCAAACCCAACCAAACAAAAAACAATAAAGAAGAACCTGCAAGTATCATGAAGGCAGAAAAAGTCCTCTAAGATCATCTAGTCCACTGCCAACCTACCACCATTATTGCCCACTAAACCCTAAGTACCACATCTGCCCGTTCCTTAAACACCCCCAGGGACGGTGACTCCACCACTTCCCTGGGCAGCCTGTTCCAATGCCTAACCACTCTATCTGAGAAGAAGTTCTTCCTAATATCCAATCTGAACCTGGCCTGGTTCAACTTGAGAACTCCCAACTCCCAGATCCTTTTCCTCCAGGAAGCTTTTCAACAACTCTGTCCCAAGCTTGTAGTGTAGCATGGGGTAGTTGTGACTGAAGTGCAGGACCTGGCACTTGGTCTTGTTGACCTTCACCATGCTGTTGTTTTATTCCTAGGCTGTGAGAAATAAGTAAGTGATATTTCAGTAGCTGTATTGAAGGCTCTGCAAGAGGGGAAGCAAGTTCTTTAACATAAATCAGAAGAAAAGTATGTTTTTTCTCACTTGATTCGTTGTTTCTAAAGCCAATAACATGTTGCAGTATTCAATATGTAACCCCATTCTGAGCCTTAAATAGTATTTTGTACTCATACTACTGGGTTTAAAAATATTTTTGAGTCTGTTTTCTGCAGATGCTAGCTATGCTACTTCACAGCACAAAAATGAAAAATCTTTGCTGTATCCTTCAGTGACATACATGATACTGAACAAATGACAACTAATGGTTAAATAGCAGGAAATCAAAATACTTCATTACAAGTCATTTACTTAACCTAAGTGATGGAGCTTAAAAAAAAAAAAAAAGAAAAAAAAAAGAGTAGAACCTCAACTGAGTTACTGTTGATTACTTAATGTGTTCTTGGGCTGTGTTATTACCCTGACTGACAGGAGGGAATGAGCCTCAAGGATTTTCTGATTAGGAAATTCCAAATGCAGTATATGAGGATATCATTTTTCTTTTGGCATTTCCTAATTCATCTAATTGCATTTTCACACCAATAAAAATTGTCCATGAAAGATTCTTCATGGAAGAAATGATTGCAGCCTGGACTTCATTATAGGGCCCAAAATTTAAAAATCATAAAAAGCAAATTCTATGCTGCATTGCTATTTTGCGCTAGTTTGAAACTTGGTCCTCTGTTCAACACTGAATTTGACTACAGCAACTGGTTATTGTGCTGATACATCCTTGCAGAGTAAATTGGTCAACAGTTATGGTAGAAATTGTTAGACTATGTAGTGCCCACTTCTGAAATGGCCACTGAAGGCTCCCTGTGGTGATGCAATTTGTGTTTTTTTTCCTACTACAACACCTTCAATGCCACTCCCGATTCTTTAGTTGTGTAGATAGCACGTTTGCTGTGGCTTCTGATTTCACCCAGGGCTGTGGAAGTTGTCTCAGAGCGCTGTGCGAAAGGCGAGGCAAAGCAGAGTTGGACTCAAGGCTCAGAGGTGGAAAGGCCAGTTTAGGACAAATTGGGCATGGTTTGTCTGTTAGGCAGGCAAAGATAAACACTCATTAAGTTGTCATGGTCACCCAGGCCTGAGTTTTGACATCTCACAGCTTAGGCATTTATTTATGAATAAAAGGATGATTAAATGGTTAAAATGGAAGATTGGGAGTCATTCAATCTAACGCCTCAGCTGCTTGTGTGAGGTACTGCTTGAGTAAGATGTACCAGTCTGTCTCAGATCACAGGGAAGTGTGGAAGGTGATGATGAAGGTGGGAGAGAGAGAGAGAAGAATTAACGCTGTCTCTTTCTTTATGGGTCAGAGCCTTGTCTGTGGAACAATTTCCCTGAACGTTTCCAGTGGTTGGCACTGCCAGCTTAGCCCATGCAGTTAGGTAGATGGTAGCATATATTAAGTGCTTGCTGATACTGTGTTTGTGGTGTGTGCTTTCTTTTTTTCTTTTCTAAACAACAACAAACAAACCAAACCAAACAAACCCAAACCATCAACATTAATAGGTGTGGAAAACACAGGATAAGATGGAAGAAGAATGTAAGTAACATCCTATCTTGGCAGCCATGAAAGACAGTAATTGAAATACTTTAGATTTACTTTAAAATGCTGAGTTCTGTTGAGATAGAAAAGATGTATTTGGTAGTAAATGGAAGAAAAAATGATGAATAAATTCCTGTTAGATAAGAATTTTGGTTTTATTCCTGGTGATCTGGAACTAAGCTTATAATTCTCCAGTGGTTGCTTTGCAAGTTTCTTGGAAGGAAACAAAAGAAGCTGGAAGTTAAATCGTAGACTTCCTTTGAAGGTGAAAGGGAGCTTAACATTTTGCATAGAAGTGTGCAAGCCAAAATTAGGAAGTGAAGAGGCAAGGTGGATTTGAATATAACTTCCAGCATTTCAGGCTAAGTAAGGAAAGGGAGTGATGAGAGATCACAGAATTGTAGGAGCTGGAAGGAATTTCTGGAGATCATCCAGTCCAACTCCCCTGCTAAGCAGTTTCTCTACAGGAAGTTGCACAGGAAAGTATCCAGGTGGGTTTTGGGTATCTCCCGAGGAGGAGACTCCACAGCCTCTCTGGACAGCCTTCCAGATGGAGAAGAAAGGTTCACACTATGAAGTGTGTGACATAATTACCAAGTTGGACTACACATTTGGAAAGAAGGAATTAGTTTCTAAATGTTTCCTTGCATTAAAAAAATGGCAACGTAATCCATATTTTTATTTTCAGATAATCACAGCTCATATCACATACCAAGGTTTAAAAAAACCTGTAGTGTATGCATTAAATAGATATATGTGTTTCTGAAATTGTCACTTTCAACAAATTTACTTAGGATCTTGACTCTAGCTCTTGAATATCTTCTTTTGTAATTTTTATTGCTTGCTGTAAAAGAATGATTCATGGTTTCTATCTTTCTTCTTGTTGTCCTTTATAAATTATAAAGATGTCAGTTCCTTACTATGATTCTTCACTGCTGTGTAGTTGATCAAAACAGTTTGCAGAAGGAAATAATTTTTCCAGAACTTTGCAGCTCAGTAGAATTCTGGAGCTAAGCTTTGCTTATATGCTGAGACATAGGTCAATGCTCACTGTCAAATAGGAGGTATATGTTTTGATACCACGTAAACAGAAGTCACTGGTTTTCTGTTATAGCTGTGTGCCTTCAATAGCTACTGCAGAGCAGACTGTTAAGAGTAGCTAAAGATAAGATTAAAATCATCAGTTCAGAGTTCAAATAGGTCATTACTTTCAAGGACAGGAGCAGCTGAATTTGTTAGCCACTCCTTTACCAGAAGCACTTCACCTGTACTGACAATTTTATATGACAAGTAAGTAATTAAGGACAATTACAAGGTAATAGAGCACTACTTTTCCAGTCTAAGATCATACGTTAGTTTGGCAAAGCTGTCCACTGAAATATAAAAGTGTTATAACATACCTTAGTTTATTTAAAAAAAAAAAATGCTGATCCTCTAGTTTTTGAATTAGACAGCATTATATAGTAAAATAAACTCTGTAAATATTAGATTTAAAATTAAGTATTTGATACTGAAATATTTTTTCTTTAACAATGCAGTAAATAGTTCTTACATTATTTAGCAATGTTTTTTGCTTTTCTTCAGCGTATGAGAAAAAATTTAGAATGAGGATTTTGTACAAGTTAAACAGTCTTTGAAGGGCAGTCGAGCTTCTCAAGAAGTTATGGGTAAAATCTTTGCAAGTTTTTTCTCCCTTTTTCTCTGTTCTTCAGGCACAGTCTGAAGCTTCCAGTACCACTACTGTGCTAATGGTGTGCATGTTCCACCTTCTTCCCCCTTTTCTGAGCACATAAATCTGTCTGTGCTTGCAGAGAAAAACAAATGGAGGATTGCAAGCTTACATAATGTTCACTTCTTATCAATTCAGAGGTTGTGATTAAACTGACCCTAGTTTTGGGGGGGAGGAATGGGAGAAATATAGTTTCTGTCACTAGACCTGGGTCTGAATAGTTTGTTGCTATAGAAGTGAAGCTGTATGCATTTGGAATTACATGTGGAAGTTCAAAATTACCAATTATTTTACAGTGTTCTCTCAGAATCACACTGCTTGTCTTCTTGCCCTCTCTCTTTTTCTTTCTTTCTTTCTTTGCTTCTTACCTCTTCTATCTGTAATTGGAAAGTCTGGTGAAAAGCATAGAAGAAATAGCGCAATTTATAGAGCCTCAAGTAGGACTTTTTTTTGAGTGTAGCATGAATTTTTTTAATAGTTGATAAAACTCTTATATAGTTCTCAACAGTCTGGAATTTTTTTTACATGTAGGTAAAATGCTTTCTTTCCAATTTTAAGTGAATTCTCTTTGCTAATAGGGGAGATACTTGAGTGGTTTTGTCATCTTTTAGCTTTTAGCTCTTTTATTATTGTTTAAAAAAAAAAAAGAAAAACAAGTTTCAAAAATACAGCTGAATAAAGCATGCGGCAGCAAGTAATAGAGCCACCAACTCTCCTGAGCTGCTCTCCTATAGGACTAAATGCAGCTAAGAGATGAAAAGGTGAACTTAGCTTTTCATAGAGACTTTTCTGGGTCTGTTTGAAGAAGCAGTACCATTACTAAGAATTTCTGAAAGAAAAAATTATATCCTGAGACCAATGAACAGTAATAGATAATGTAGAGAGTGATGTGCTCAATGGGATACAATTTAAATAGAGAAAATCTGATGGGAAGTAGCTACATTAGTAGCAGATGGATTTACTTCCTGAATCTCAGTCTGAGTGGAAATTCTACCCTACTTAAAATTTGTCTTCCAGATTCTTAACTTGATAAGAAAGGTGGATAAAGCAATTTATTTCCTTGAATTCAGTGCTGTGATGATGTGTTTTGTTTAAATTTTCTATTGTTCTTGCTTTTTATCTAGGCTATTTTTATGATTCCTACAAATCCCCCTCCAACCTTTCGGAAGCCGGAGCTCTGGTCTGATGAATTCACAGATTTTGTGAAGAAGTGCTTAGTGAAAAATCCTGAACAAAGAGCTACAGCAACACAGCTGCTGCAGGTCAGTCAAGTTTCAGAGGAAATGTCTTTCTCACCCAGTCTCAAAGCAGAATGGTTGTGAAAATTTAAGAGCACATCTCTTGCCTTATTTCTTTTCCATTTTGAGATCTTTCCTTTATCACCTTCTGTATCTCCAGCCCTGTTTTGTTCCTTCTTTGTTACTTCTAAACAGTTATTTCCTCTTTTTGAAGGTTAGAGCTGGTTCTTAGTATTAAAAATAGGTTCTTGTTTGGTGATTAGAGGCCTTCAGTAGATCATAGGGTTTAGGCCAGTGTTATGTAAAGGAACCCTTCGGTAGGGACCACCCGTGGAGTATACTTAGTCTGCCCTTTTGGTCATGCCAAATTAAACAAGACAGGTTGTTCTGTGTTGTAGAAGGATCTGATATGGATGGACAGGATAAAGAGGCTATTCTTGGGCTGTTACCCCAACTGAGCACTTCTAAATTACAACCATGGTTGGCAGTGTGAATCGATGCACCAGGCTTTAGGTCACTCAGTGAACTGACCTCTGTGTTGCTTGAAACAGTTGGTACTAAGTACTATTTAACGTTTTGGTATACTTAGATACAAATAAAGCAGACAAATTTCAAAGAACTACAAAAACCAAACAGGAGGGACTGATCTGTCAAGGAAAGTGTACTATTGTGAAACCAACAAAATTTTACAAGGATTACATGTTTTGGTGCACAGTAGAAAGGGAAAACGTGAAGAAAGTATGCTCCTTTACTTTTATTATCCACTTCAGTACTGTCATAGTCATCCATCAAATAACATGTCTGTGTTCTAGAGGAAGGGCAGGTGAAAGAAAAAAAAAAAAAAAAAGAATATTTGTAATAGGTTCCTTGATGATTGAAATGGAATCTAAAATTTCCCAGCAATAAACTTTCTTTGCTAACAAGAAGCAAAAAAATTAAGAAAGCTTTCAGACTATTTGGTATTCTTGTATGCTTTTCACTGCTACTAGTAAATATTGTTCTTAATTTTCATTTCGTCAGTCTGATCTTCTGAAATTCCTGCTCTAAGACAATTGTGATACCTTTATTCTGTCTTAAGGTAGGAGCATGCTCATTTTAAATTTAAATTAGAGTTTACTCCACTACAAAAGAACGACTTTCAAAGTATTTTTCAGTAATAAATCATACAATTCTTATTTAATGGTATGAATTATTTTACTTCTCATGGAAAGTAAAATAGAAGGGAAGTAAAAGTTGAAATTCAGGGTTTTAGTTTGATGACTGTATCATTACTTGAGACCTTCAAGATCAGAAATTGGTATGCTAACTAATAACTGGATCTGGTTAAAAGAGACTTGTATTAATGCATACAAGTAACAAAAAACCCTCAGTATTACATGTTCCCTATGTGCACTGGCCAGAAGACCGACTGCTGCGTCCTTTAGTTGTATATGCTGCCTTTTTCCCAGTTGGAACATGTGTAGTGGAGCAGGAGGTGCCATGGGTATGCTGGAGGGGTACAAGTGGGAATGAAAATACCACTTGTGAGGAACAGTTACAGAGGGGAAAGAAGGGTAATTGAATTCATATATCAAGGGATAGGATAGGTAATAGGCAAAGAAGGACAGTAGGATTTATCAGTTTTGTTCTTCATGGAGCAGTTTTTTAATCAGTAATAATACGTTTCTGAAGTGCTGAGAGCTACATTTTGACTCAGTTGTACTTTCATATGATAATGCAAGACAAGAATTTTTATAACAGGGGGTTATTAGAGTGTAAAAGGAATGTAAATGGTATCATCCACATCTTGTCTTCAAGGAGGAACTAATGCTTTAAATGGCTTTGAATTAAAATTACTCTTCCTGCTAAAAATAATGTGTTTTCCTTTTTTTGCTTGTTCCACATTTCACCCTCCTAGATGAAGAAATGTTTTATGACATGTTCAAGTACAGGTCTGTTGAAGTAAGCAACAGCCATACTTGCTCTGCTTATAGCCACTAATTTATGCTGTCAGCTTGTTAAGATTAATTAAATACTGTAACTGAATATCTGAAAAAGTTTGTTTTTCTATGTCAGACAATCACCACTCTATTTATTTACTACTTAATGCACATTTCCTTGGGACAATTATGTCCCTAACTATAAAGCACTTGTTTTGTAGTTACATTTTCCAAGTCTTGCTGTTTTCTGTTTTGTTTTGTTTATTTTTTTTCTAATAAAAATCATAGTCGTGTAGAATAAGCTGGAAAGGACCTCTGAAGAATTGTTGAGTCCAACTTCTGGCTCCACACAGGATCACCCAAAATTCCAACCCCACATCCAAGAGTGCTGTCCAAACCCTCTGTGAACTCTGTCAGCTTGGTGTGGTGCCCACTGCCCTGTGCAGCCCGTTCCATGCCCACCGCCCTGTGGTGCAGCCCCTGTCCCTGACCCCCCCCCGCCCCTCCCCTGACGCAGCTCCATGCCGTTCCCTCGGGCCCTGTCGCTGTCACACAGAGCAGAGCTCAGCGCTGCCCCTCCGCTCCCTGTGAGGAGCTGCAGCCGCCATCAGGCCTCCCCTCAGCTCCTCTGCTCTGGGCTGCACAAACACAGGGACCTCAGCGCTCCTCATACATCTCGCCCTCCAGCCCCATCCCCATCTCCGTAACCCTTGTTTGGATGCTCTCTAATACTTTAATGTCCTTATATTGTAGGGCTGTACCAGCATAGAGTGGATAAATAGAAGTGAAATTTAGTTATGAAGTAGTTGAAAATTACCACATTTTAGATTTGAATTATTGTGTGACGTGAAGTACCAGCTATCACTGAGGAGTTGGTATTGAATAATGCTTGCAATTATATCTGAACCATATCTATTGTAATTGTCATTGAATTTTTTTTTTTTCTTTTTTCCTAGCATACATTTATTAAGAATGCCAAGCCAGTTTCAATTTTAAGGGACCTTATCACTGAAGCTATGGAGATAAAGGCAAAGCGACATGAGGAGCAGCAGAGGGAACTAGAAGAAGAGGAGGAAAACTCGGTCTGTAATTTTTTTCCCTAGAACTATTCATATTTTATAGATTAGTTACTGTTCTTTTTCGACAGCTTCCTGTCCTCACATCTTCAAATACTTTTCTTTTCTTACCACTTATTTAGTCTGTGAGGCTCAAGTTGTTTGTCCCTTATTCATAATGAGCAATGCTTCTGTGAGTAATGCTGTATGAGCCAGCTTTCAGTACTATTTCATGCAGTGCCCTAGTAAGTTTTAGGAGGTGGGTAAAGAAACCATGTGAAGTTCAGCTGTTTTGAGTAGCATTAACAAAAAATAAATACTATTGCAGTCTCATTTTCACCCATGGGCTTCTAGAAAAGTACTAAAATTTTCACAAGTTCAGATCACCTAGCTTTTTTGGTAGAGTTATACAAAATAGAATTACTTATGCAGCACAATAAGTAGTGTTTAGTTGTGCATATGAAGAAGAAATGATGACAGCTTTTAATTCCCTCACTTATGATACTAACACATTTAGGGTGGGAAATTGTATGAGAAATTGTATTATTATTATTTGGCAATGGTAGAAATAAGTCACTGTTCCTAGTATTATTACTCTAAGTGATTTATGAAGGCTGTTCTGAAGGTGATGCCTCCTATTTAGTATTGGTCAGTGACATTAGCTGTTGTGTTTGCTGTGGTTTCAGGTTTCACCCAGGGACGTGGAAGTTGTCTGAGAGCAATGTGTAAAAGGCAGGGCAAAGCAGAGTTGGACTCAAGACTCAGTGGTGGAAGGCCAGTTCAGGACAAATTGGGCATGGGATGTCTGTTAGGCAAGCAAAGATAAACACTCGTTATGTTGCCATGGCCCTCACACCTGAGTTTTGACATCTCACAGCTTAGACATTTATTTACAAGGGCTGTTCCGAAAGTAATGCCCAAAAGTAACATAATTTATTATGCTGGCCCACAGCATCATTGGTGGGTGTTACTAGCATGGTAGTAGAGGTTGAACCTTCCCACCAATATTCCATTGCATTTTGTTGCTGTGTGACAGATGGCAGCAGAGGGGCAGTCTGACAAACTGGCATCTGACATGGAGGTGTGTGTGAACCTAAGGAGTGTAACTGAATTCTTCCTTGTGGAAAAAATGTCACCCACTGATGTTCATCGATGCTTGCTGAATGTTTATGGAGCCCAAAGAGTGGATAAGAGCACAGGGAGGCATTGGGTGGTGCATTTCAGCAGTGGTGACATCAAAATGAAATACAAGCCACGTTCTGTATGGCCATGCAGATATTTATGAATTTATCATTCAGCCTTTTGTTCATTACTGGCCAAAATGCATAGCTAATGGTGGTGACTGTGTTGAAAAATAGTTTTTGTAGCTGAGATTTGCTCTATAAATAGTGTTATTGTGCTCTGTATATAGTTTGTAGTCTCCATTGGAATATATAGGAGACATTACTTTTAGAATAACCTACATATATTAGGGCAGTATTGTGCAATGCAGCACAGTGTTATTCAAAAGAGCATATTGACACACATACAATGAGAGCCCGGTTTATTCAGAAATAATACACAGAAAAGATGGAATACCTGTGGAGGTCTTAAGGATCTCAGCCAACAAAACACAGCAAGGCAGGCTGCCCTATCCCAAATCATATAAGCTTTGTGTGTTATGGAGCATTAGGTGATAATCTCTAAGTAGGAATACTTACCAAGCAAATTCTGTGGACTGTTCTGGATGATGGCATACACTGAGGTCTTTCTTCTTCTGTTTTAGGGGTATGTTCTAAGAATGCTGATAGCTTGTCTTTTATAAAGTTGCTTTACGGATGGTATTTCCTTAACCAGTAGTAAATCAGATGTGGAAGGTTGTGGATTATTGTTTTACATTAAGAAATGCTACCTATGTGATGTGTGACCTTACATGCAGAGTTGATGTTCATTACTTAATATATAGAATAGCTGGCTAGAGACTGACCTATTACAGATGTTAAAACTTAATGTATTTACTAGCGTGCTTTCCTCCCTACTGTTGACTTACAGATTGTAGAACTCAAACATTTGGGCATTGTTGATGCTTTTTTCCATTAGCGCAAAATTAGGTTGACTTCTGATTATGGAGGCTGAGTTTCAGATGGGGAATCAGACTGCCAGGCAGGGGATGAGACAATCCCTACCAGCTTAGCATGTGGTGTGCAGCCTGTTCACCCATACTGTGTGGAAGATGCAGCTCAAGTTTGATTTAGGCTGGAGAGTGGTGAGGTGCTGGAACAGGCTGCCCAGAGAGGTTATGGATGCCTCATCCCTGGAGGTGTTCAAGGCCAGATTGGATGGGGCCCTGAGCAGCCTGGTCTTGTATTAAATGGGGAGGTTGGTGGCCCTGCATGTGGCAGGGGGGTTGGAGCTTCATGATCCTTGAAGTCCCTTCCAACTCAGACTATTCTGTGATTCTGTGGTCTTAAACTGGTCTTAAATATAAGGCAGAAGATTGGAATGGATAGCAGGCAGGCACGGGGTGAAAGACTGATTAATCAGCTTGAAAAGCTCTGGCACTAGCATGCTTTGCTCCTTTTTTTTTTCTTCTGCTTGCCCTGCCTCTGTCAGTAGGGGACCTGTGAATAGTGACCCACTCTAACTTGTTACTTCACTTAATGAGTAAAGAATGGAAGAGACCAATCTGAGATTAACTTGGCTTCTCAGGACAGTATGGGAGAAGGGCACAAAAGAATCTTAATGAGTTTAGTCAGATCAGAAAAGGAAGGCAGTGGAGAAATGAAACGTGTGACTTTATTGTAATGAAACACATTGGAGTGGTTGAGTCCAGGATACACCAATAGTAGTCAGATTCATTGTGGATTAAGGCAAATCAGGCTGTGTTGTATTTGCTGCTGTCCTATGTGTGCTTTTGAGGCTGCCTTAATTCAGAGCATGTGTTTGTATTACCATGGTACTGTCATTGTGAGTTTAAATGTGTAGTTGCCCAGCGAAGGCCAGCATTGCATGTGGTGGAGAAAATGGATACTTCTTCTTTAAGGTTAGTCTGTGTCATTCTTGGAAGACCTAATAGGGGAAGGAGTAGGTCTTCTCTTCCAGCTTGGAGGGGGAGCCTCCAGTAGTAGAGAAGCACCAACTGTAACAAGAAGATGCAATTGTAGGCAGGGCAAACAAAAAGAACATAGGAACTCTTGCTGCCCACAGATGGCACACCTCTCTGAAAAAGAGAAGAAAAAAAATTATTTATTTATTTATTTTCTTCTTCTTAACCACGGATAAATAAATTTCACAATTCCTAGGGTTTAGTTATTGTGGAGAGGTTCTGTGCATTTTTCAGCATTATCTTTGGCAGATGTATCAAAGCTACCATACCTACCAGAAGCTATTTGCTATTGCAAAAGTACTGTGTAATTAACAAAAGGATGTTAAGGCAATTTTATAGTAAGATTTACATTGAATAGTTTGTTGTTTTTTTTTTTTTAAAGTTTACTTTTACCAAAAGGTTAAGTAAGATAGGACATTTGTTTCTATATGTTTAATTTTTAAAAAAGATTATGGTTTATATTCTTTTATTCCATTGAGATATGTACATTTTTATTTCCCTGTTTTCATATGCTTTTATATTTCTCAAAAATAATCTTGGTATGGATTATGAAGTTATGATTGGGATGTGATTTTATTTTTGTTAAAATTATTTATATATTTGATATTAGGTGTGATCTTTGCTATCATTAAACATATGCCTCTATATCTGGGCAAGCCAGAAGTGTAAAAAAGTTGGGAAATGTTTCCCTTCAATAGAAAAAGTGGAGTTGTATGTGATTGAAATGGAGAATACTGACAGTGAAGTGATGAAAAGTATAGTTTGTCAGAAATATGATGCAGTGACCTACGAATAGTGCAGGAGAGACATAGACTTGTTGGAGCATGTTCACAGGAGGGCCACAGGGGATGGAACGTTTCTTCTGTGAGGACAGGCTGAGAGAGCTGGGGCTGTTCAGCCTAGAGAAGACTCCACGTTGACCTGAGCAGCCGTTCAGTATCTAATGGGGAGGTACAGGAAAGAAGGGGGAAGACTCTTTTATCGGGCTCTTTTTCAGGTTGGATGTTAGGAAAAACTTCTCTGAAACAGCATTCAGGCACTGGCCAGAGGCTGCTCAGAGAGGTGGTGGAGTCACTGTCCCTGAAGGTGTTCAAGAACCATTTAAATGTTGTACTGAGGGACATGGGTTAGTAGGAAATACTGGTGGTGGGTGGGTGGTTGAACTGAATGATCTTAGAGTTCTTTTCCAACCTTAATGATTCTATGATTTTATGTTGTGCTAGAGCAAGGGGAAGTGGTTTTAAGCTCAAGGAGGGTAGATGTAGGTTATATATATAAGGAATATAAGGATATATATATATAAGGAATAAGGATATAAGGAAAAAGTCTTTTGCATGGAGGGTGGTGAGGCACCGAACCACGTTGCCCAGAGAGGTGGTAGATGCCCCATCCCTGAAGACTTTCAAGGCAGGGCTGGATCAGATGAGTTAAAAGATGATTTCAATAATAATTCAATTGTGACAGTGATTTTTCATATCTTGCCACTGCTTTCAGTGCAATACTACACTGTAAGATATTCCACATTGGTTGAGAGATTACACCAACATCTTTTTCACTTGCAATTGCTCGAGTTTCTGGTCAGCTAAAAGCACAAAACACGTAGAGCAGGACGAACTATTTACAATTTATATAATTTGAGAAATTTTCTGTACTGTGTCCTGACTACATACTATTCACGTGTTCATAGTGCAATGCATTGATCCTAGAAGACTGGAGCGACACATAGGTGTGACTGAGGCCAGAATTAAGTGAAATTCTGTACAGTGCAGATTTCAGTTTGTAAATTGTCCTCGGCAGAGATTGGTGAACGGACCCAGAGGTTCTTAGAGCAAAGCACAATAAACAGAAGGATAAAATGAAAGCATTAGCACTTTTGTGTTTGTTTAAGGAAAACAAACAAACAAAATCAAACAACGAAACAAAACCCTGAAATCTTCAATTT